ATAGCTAATATTCATGACTGTAGTTGAATTTTCTAAGATCAAATGAAAAAATTCAAATTCAAAGAACCGAAGAAACATACGTACTTGTGTCATAATGTTAAATCGTATATTATACGGTTTTGGCAACGATACACAAATAAAAGACAAATTAATCATTTTAACATGTTTATTTTAATGCGCTGCTCCCTATAGCTACTTGTATCATTTAGTATTTATTTATATAATTTAATGTTTTTTTTTTACAATTTTCGATACTTGACTACTATACAATATTAATATTGTATAAAAGAATAATATAAAGCTTTGGGGATATTAGACTTTTATTGATATTACATAAAAGGTTGGTTATGTTCAAATATTAATTTGTGACCCAACATTTTGGGACAAACCATCGAGATAATTGTTTTATGTTATATTGCTCACGAGTGCGAAACACAAACATAACAAATCGTATTGTGCCTTATTATTTTATCCAAAATCAAATTAAACGTATTTTATGACCTAGACTGTCATAAATAATGTTTAACGTTACTGTCTTCTGGGCTGGGTATTTTTTTCTCTCACAATTATTAAATCTATATTTTTTTATTTTGTTCAACGAACCATCACATGTGGTTATTAGATTATTATTATTATGTTTTTTTTTTATAGGATAATGTTTATAGTCATCATTCATCCCTCGTCATAACACCAAATGGAACTTGGAACTCTGGCATCGGGGTTAGAAAAATAATGGTATACATTATGTACGAAAATCAACAGCAATAGAAATATTACAATAATATGGAATTAATTTTTTTTTTTTCATCTCACCATTCGCGTTGAAGTTATCTACGTGCTATTTTTAGGTACGCATTTATCTTACCCACGTACCTATCATATTATATGCTACAAAAAACATTGATTTTTTTCCTATTTTTTTTTCCACAATCGATATCGTTGAAATTAAATTGCGTTTTGTTTACAAACGCAAACTATATAACATGACGTACTAATTAACTATACCTACTTGCACGTTGTAATTACCCCGACTTGTGAGTTCTTTTTGCTTTTTTCACCGTCGAGGTTCCTATTATGAGGCAGAACTGCAAAGCTATTGGTTTTTCCTTTAGTGCACAATTTTTTTTTCTTATTATTTTTTTGTCCCACTGAAACCACTTTTAGCACGTTGTTAATGTGTTCTCCCGATTCTTTCACATATACCCCTACGTGTACAAAAGCAGTCAATCGGAAATTACGTGTAGATTGGACGTTTGTACTCGTATTATTAGAATTCCGAATTTCCCATTATTTCTCGAGAAGATCATTAAAGACTGCTACGAAAGCATTCTGAATCAACGATAGAAAAAAAATACACGAATATCAGATCCCGTATAAGTTTTATAAAATCCAAAAAAAAACAGGTGCAAATCAAAGAAATATTTCCCATGTATGAGAGCTAAAATAATATCATTACCGAGAAAAAATATACATCATTAACCTATGTACATATATTTTTTTAAATATAATTTTAAGTAATTGATACGCTATATAGTAAACAATGTAATATTATATACATCCACCATGTATGTATGATGACAAGTTGTTAGGTATTTTAGATGGCACAAAAATGGTGCATACTATTGATTATAAAATAATCACACCTAATAATATATAATATTTTAATTATAATGTTCTGAACATCAAAAATGTTTGAATTTTGATTAATTATTCACAAATTGTTCCTACACAGTAATGCTATAAAATTGTTGTTTTCAAACAATATCTCATTAGTCACTACTCATTACTCGTGGGCATAATTGAATCATGGCGCTGAAAGTATTCCATTTGCACAGTGGGTTATCGAAATGTTATTATTTTGATTGTCTTTAAAACTTCAAAAACGATTTATTCTGTTGGTTTCGGTTGATATTTATAACAATTCATTCTTATATACCATATGTAACACATTGCAACGTCATTTATAGAGACGCATTAAATTACAAGCCAAAACAGAACCACGATACAATTATGACGACTATAATATTATAAATGATTTAAAACAAAACATTCAAGAATCACATAATATTTCGAGAGAACAATTAATTAAAAACCAAATAAAGGGTAAGACAAAAGGGAAAATCCTGGAGTCATCCATAAGGTAAAGACTTAGTATTATTAAAAGATAATACACATAAGAATAAACTTCACACATTATGGCCAGATTCGTATGATGTCATTGACGTAATAGGAAATGGAAATGTAGTCATTACTATGATACTATGAAGTGTCACGCAGTAGGTACACAAAAATAATATAAAACAATATTATAAAGATAATACAAATTAATAAATAAGTATATAAGTATGACAGCAGTTAGATAATAATATAAAATAAATAGGTTAATTTTAATTTAAGAGACAATGGAATTTCATTTTGGAACTCGAGTTGCCACTCAAAAGTGAAGTAAACGAGACATATACATTAGGACCGGAAAACACTCCAAGGTGTCTAATAGGGCACATCAATACAACAAACAATAAAATAAATTAACCTTTCTCAACACTTGAAATAACCAAAATAACTGAAATAATTACTAAGCTCCCTAATGTATGATTTATCACCAACTTCGGTATCAAATATATTGAGAATAAGCCAGCTATACAATTAAGTTATAACTCATAAAAAAAAAATAATAATAATAATATAAACAATGAAAAAGCAATAGAAGTAATTTTTACATGAGATTAAATTATGAGAATTTAAGAAACAATGTACCACTAGAATAATAGGGACAAAATACATACTTATAATTTACTTTTTAATACAAGAGTATAATAAAAAATATGTGAGTTACTAGAAGGAAAAAATGTAAACCGTCGCAGAACACCTGGCAGACATGGCACATCGAAACTAGCTATTTTATACAGAAAATATGCATAAAAAATATGGTTTATTAAAAGAAATAAACATGGAATAATCAAAAACATAGTATTCAGACATTTTAAGAAAACGACAAGCTGAACCTAGTGGGGAGATTGTGGCAGCAGAACTATGCTAAGAAGTGTGATACCCATTTACGGGGACGAAATTACATAACTCGACAGTTGTTGTGACTTCTGATTATAATAACAAAAATACTATTATATTATAATTATCATCATTTTTTATTTTGCCAAATGTTGACAGGTAAGAGTATAATATCCCCAATATGACAATAATATGTGTGTTAAAAAGTGTTTTGTACGTTTTTGTAAGGAAAGGTATTAAAAGAGTCCAGCTATTGGATGTGGCATAATTTTGTGACGTTACCATATTATAATGATACCTATGCTATATTATGTTACTATTCAGTAATTTGAGCTTGAGCCTGAAATTAGTATAAATGAAATAGATATAAATAAATTGCATAAAACTATTATATATAAAGGGTAGGCATATACTGTATAGAATAACTATTTGGACTGGATCAATTAAAACAACTAGATATGACGTATAAGCATAACCATTTCTATATTTCTGTGTAAATACTAAATATTAATATTAGTTTACTTTTTTATTATTATTACCATCTGTTACAATTTCAATAAGTTTAAATTATTTTTCTTTAATTATTGTTGATTCTTTAACCGCTATCTAATGTGTATACTGTCTTACTGTTCTATTTTATATGGCCCTATTTTTAGTGTTAAATTATATTTTAACAATTCACAGTTTTTTTTTATTGATAATAACCCAAAGATAAAGAAATTAATCATTCATGCTTTTAATCTTATTATGGATAATCAAGTTACTGTGCATGTAAATACTAAATAAGTTACAAATCGTATAGATTTGTTGGCATGAGGCTATTTGCTGAAAGTGAGCTTTTACCCGGTTAACAACACTCATTCGTCTTTGTCTAAATTAATCCAGAGGGATCTCATATATTTATTCACATTCGGGTTATTCTAAAAACGATGCAGTAACAGCTGATGCAAAATCAAAATCGAATGTGTTCGATATAACTAAATCTAGATGATTATAGTCAATTTTAAGAGAACTGTATCGATGGTCCTCCAGATAAACTCCTCGATTCATAATATACGATTTGCCTATCTAAGTACCTATAATGCTATACTTATAATGTTAACTTGTCTTACAATGTACGAATATATTGGTTGACCACTAGCCGATTACGTAAAATTTAACGTTGGAAGACTCAATGTCACAGCCGCCAATCTTCAAACGAAAATTTAAAATCATTCAAAATAAGTACACAATATATTATATTATTTGTAAGCCCAATGGGACATGATGCCGAGGATATTTTATCATTAAAAACAAAGAATCTATATCCCCGTCGACATTTCGTTGAAGATGTAAGAGGCTATCGTTTATTCGTATCATGTACTCATGTGTATATAATGACTAATGATACTTACATACTAACAAAATCAAATGAGAGGGATTGTAATTCAGTGGTTGGTTGTAACTTCGTATATCTTTATTTTCTGAGCATAGACACTTGTCATATGACCGTTCGGGAAGATAAAACTTTTATGGTGATAGAAAAAACAAACTTTTGCATTTGAATAGGTAAACAATATTCAGACCGTCTGAAATAATTAATAGTATGCAATATCAGGCAAGACATCGATAAAATCAAGTGTAAAAACAAAACTGTAAATATATATACCTAATAGATATTGTATGTTCCCCTATGGTTTATAAATTAGTTGTATTCACTTTGAACACTTTGTCTGACGTTTCGAAAAATATTAAAAGTGTAATACTATTATGTTTCCAGATACATTTTAAATAAACGACAAAATTATATATAACACAAATTATACTTATAACGTTAAATGTTTTTTTTTATTACGTTTGCATAAATGTATAATTCATTTGAAATTATACCCACTTAACCCTTTTTATTATTACAAATACTCAAAGCCCATTACTTAAAATAATATGCGCACTCAGACATTCGAAAATGTTATCGTTGTTAGCCAACAACTGATTTAAGGTTTATTTTTTAGGATTTACAAAGAAGCCGTTCGACAACGGCAAGCCTTGTCCCGGACGTCCAGTAATATAATTCTGAACAGCATACATCAACACAGGATTCAACACTATAGTCATAGATTACGGCCTCCAGACAGCGAAAACATGTCAAATGGAAACGGTGAGTTTTTTTTTTATTTATCCAATTTTTTATAATAATATTATTATAATAACAAGGTTGATTTAAATAACTATTGTATGGTACATTTAGGTCACAGTAAACATGACCTTTGGTGATATAAACATGAAATAAAATGAGTTATTATCGTCCCTCCGGAATATTTAGAATAAATTGTTAAAATAATAAAACAAATTCGTTGTTTAAAAGTAAAACTGCTGTACTACTACACAAGTAATACTCTACCTACACTATTTATTTGTACATATAAGCGAAATTGTACAGGATTACCTTCAACTTAAACAAATAACTGATATTATTTAAAATTATTGATTATACAACTGCACTAGAACATAATATTAGCAGTAGTATTTACTATTTAGTACGGTAATCGATAAACTTTTACACTATCATCGATATTGAGGGATTCGTAAATAATAATATTAGAATTAGAATTATTATTTTATAATTTGCTATATAAAGAATATCAACTTCATACAATTATTTTGAGGATAAATTGAGTTCATTCGGTCCCTAGCTATAATATAAATAATATAATTATCGTGTATGTGCGTATTGTATATAAATTATCATTTCTTTCACTATGACGGAAAAAATACATGTCACAGGGAGCAAAATGTCTGAATCCGGTATTTGTTTTGTAGAATACTTCACAGTTGAGATGATAATTATCATCGCCAAGCATCAGCTGCTGTCGTTCCATTTCGTAATACTGTAGAATATTTAATATTGTGAACAATATTCGCGACTTTGGCGTTTAATTAATAATTAATACGACTTTCTAATTGCTTACGATTTAACAAGTATGGCTAATTTTTAAAACGCAATATCGGCACGTTGAAAACGGCTTTCAAATATTACGATGCGGAACAGCGACTTTGAAAAAATCCGTACGACATTTCATTGGTCGTGATCGACGTCGTATCCGACAAACTTCGATCGCGCGTCCGACATACCTACGGCATTTTTCGACGTCCATGTTTTCCACTGCAATCTTTTGGGACACCGGTGGTGGTTTTCGTGAATTTTCCTCGGATCCCACAAATGTATGCACTCGGTGAACAGAGCGATAACAGTCGTGCACAGCCGAGCAAACACTACGAGTTAACATAATATTATTACGACGCAGTTTTATTGGTACCAGTATAATATAGTGGGCACTTGACGATGGACAAAATAATTTATAAGCCTGCACGAGCGTATAGATTGGTCTTGGACACGGTGATGTCCATAGGTCAATTCATACACATATAATAATAATATATACACAGGCATTATAAAGGTACTGTTATACCTGTATAATAATAATATATACTTAGAGCGCAAACAACGGTCAATTAATTATTTCGCGTTTTAATAACAAGCGCGCACAATAATTGTTAGCCCGACAGACGGTAAAGACCAGACGGACGGACGGCGTTTAAGTGGTATTAACGCCAGCGGATAATAATTATTAATATTATATTATACTTTATTGCGATTCGGTAAAAATGACGACGTAATCCTAGCGAAGCCATACGACATATTCGTGTTCGTATATTCCCGCGAGATTGCAGTTGTTCCGTGTACACAACGACGTAGGTATGTGATTATTGTTATTTTTATATTATTGTTATTTTAAAGCGAGCGCGTGGCAAAAACGCGGGTAAACCTAACAATACGCGTAGGTTTATTTCTCTTGCATCTGATCCTGCAGTGAACGGTAATTTTCGATTATCGGCCAAAACTCAGCTGACAACGACGTCGATGCCAGCTCGAGTTATTTTAGTCTTCGAATATTATTACTATATACCAAGGGTGGGTAACTCAGAGTTACTGGAGGACCAATTTTTGGAAAATTAAAATCTAGCTGTCCAGAGCATAGAAAGCAACAAAAACAAGGTCATTCAAAGTATACATTTTAATTGGTGTTAAATAGATAATAGAATATAGACCATAAACTTTAAAATTGTACGATGTACTTTGAAAAATGTAGCTCGGGCCAGATAAAAAAGGCCCGCGGGCCACCAGTTGACCACCCCTGCTATGCATGCTGCAGAATGATTCGGAATGTTGCTCACCACTATTAAGGGAGACTTTAATAATGAAATTATTAGAAGTCTATTATATTTTCAAAGTCTAGAGATTTTTAGTACTACTTCAGGAGTGTCCTGTGGCGATACAAATATCTGTTTTCAAACCAGAATCCCCTTTCTGCTATAAATTATTAAGTCAATAATTTTTTTGAAAATGCTGATGTGCCCAATTCAAAATTTGAACGAAGTTGTTCGATAATTAAAAATGATTTTACAAAAATATGAAATAGACGTAATATAAGATATTTTATTTATATTTATTATACTTGGACCATTTTCACAAATCATAAAATATGCTTATAGAATAATAATATTAATTACTAACATTTTCAAACCACCAAATCCACCGAATTATCTTGTTAACCTATTTATTAGCTATTATCCTTACCTATTAGACAAAATTAAACACCTAACTCAAATAAACCACAACTACTCATTCTAATTTCGATTTATATACTTCAACATTTCCTGAAAAGAAGCTGAATAATTTACATTGAAGGAACCTCTCTCCGTAAGGGGGTTATTTAAAAATCCGAAGTTTTTACCTCCAAAAGTCTCATTAAGTAATGAATATACAGTAAAATATTCACGAATATATCTCGAGAGTTCATCGATAATATTAATATGGTCTTATAAATGATGTTTGAAAATGCCAAATATCTGATTTCGAATGACTGCAGTGCTGAAGAAAAAAAGAAGGGGGTGAACATGAACGATGAATCCTCCTGTATGATAATTATACTAATTTCGTATAAACGCATATTATTGCAATATATTATATTAGTATAATGACAATTATATGCAGACCCTGTGCCTATTGTACTCGATGAGCTAAAAGCCTGCATCGCGCGTCATCACTTTAATATAATATAATATAATATCGACCGTCCCGTTCGCTTAATCTATCTTCGTTTGTCGTTTAATGAACTATTTTACAATGGGAACGTTGTGCAGTCGGATATCGTAATCGCATTGTTGTTATAGTGTTCGAGTGTGCCAAGTACACTATATATACACATTTATGTAATATGTACATATATATAGGTACGCACGTGCCTGCCTCTACTCGTCGAATCTCACGTCGTCCACAAAGCCCCTTTTCGTGTACTAAAACACACCCACACATCGAACGAGTTTCAATCGTATTGTCTCCCATAGTGCCATCGAATAAAATAATACAGCGAGAGTGGATCGAAGGTAGAGTAGACTGCAGAGTGCAGGTCCGACATATTAGACGCCGGTGATATTATTATTATTTTTTATTTTATTTTTTTTTTTTTTGACGATAGAGCAGGCGGAGTAGCTTCTTAGCAGAGAGGTTTTAATGATTCAGTGCTTTTATTTATTTACACGCCGAACATGGTAATGTTACAGTTTTATTATCATCGTTATCGACTCATGATAATAATTATTACTATACGAGATCGAGAACCCGGTAGTATAAATACTAAATAAGTTGAAAAATAAATTATATAAATTTAGTACATGATATGTTTCATATTTTATAAACACTCTGCTGTGCTATACAACTATATTGTGCTTTAAATACAATGATAATAATAATAATACGAGGTAAACAATATAGTATGTCAGTAAAACGAAGAAAATATAAAAATGGAAAAAAATTATTTAAGAGGATTAGGAGTGGTGATTTTCTGTCTTTGTTAGGCTCACGTGCCACATAGGAGTTAGAAGTGTTCTACATCCAATGTAGCCACGTAGGTACTTACCAAACTATCTAACGAAGCGATAAGAACTCAGAAAACAAATTTGAATTTCCCGTTAAGTCTACTCGAGATTGACTTTTCATACTATTGATTTGAAATCCCCAAATTTTGAAAATTTTATATTCAAAAAGTAGAAATGAGTATACCTGAGAATCATAATTTAGTTAAAATCTATCGAGTTTAAATTTATTAAATTGAAGACATTGTCAATTGAGTTCGACTTCCGTACAACACGTGTAAAATATTTATAAGACAAAAATTCAAAAAATAATTCATAAAATATGTGTAAACAATTTCAATTGTCAGATACTATTAAAAATATTGAAAACAAATTACCCAATAATTAGATAGATACCTAATAATTTAAAAATGTCATAAAGTCTCAAAATTAAATTCATTATTATTTAGTTAGTACCAAATTCAGACTTTGTGCTAAAAAAGATATTGCTTAACAGTATACTAAAAAAGTGATTTTTCTACAAATTAATAACCATAATTATTATAATATTATTATATTACTCGTCAGCCGTAATAATAATTGATACTTGAATACATTTCAGTTATGACCGTTTTCACGATTTTGTTTATTTGAGTCATAAATTGTATTTACCACCCACTATTCAGTCTTACTTGGTGAAGCTTGGTTTTCTGGTCATCGTATCATAGGTTTCTATTTTTTTTTTTTTTATTATAGAATTGCTCACTCCTCGTCGAAACTCATCTAGTAAATGATCGAATTGATGACAAGTTCTGGTCGGAGAGTCGTAGGTTCTTTTCGATTTTTTCGTGCGAGTTACTTTGTACATGTAACTTGTGTTAAATATCATATTTATTTTTACTTAGACATTCCGGAATACTGCAGGGTTCATATAAAAGATGAATTTAAATCGTTTTTGCCAAAAACTTTGTGAAAGTTTTCGAATTTCGAGATTGAACAACATTGTTTCCTTCACCAAAAGATATAGACATTCCTAATAAATCCACATCAATCATGTTTTGTTAGCCGCGGGAGAAGTCGTCGGAAAGCGGACATGACATGTGGAGACTATTGTGTCTACATTTATGTTGAACATTTTATGTTATGTGCAAGCAAGACTGATGGATAGTGCACCTAATAAGGAAAACGGCTTAGCACATCAAGTAAAAGAAAGATAAAAAAAAAATACTAAAACAATAAATT